AAATCTGACATCGTAAAAACATAGACTAGCAAAACAAGAGTGAACCCTTGTATCTCTGAATCCTGAGCGGTCTCTACGACAAACCTCTCCACATTATGACTTTATGATGTTCTCGCTCGGTGATAAGCACTTCCCTGTGACGGCTTTATTGTCTCAGACCGACTTTGTCTGTTTAAAGTTCAGAAACGTAAGGAGTGTTTGTGTACAGTCTGCAAACGGTAATGCTACATCCAGCGTGTTTACATTAGCAATATCCAATGTTTTATTAAGAGACACGTATGATATGGACAGATACAGTATGGTTAACTCCAAGTGAAGCATCAGATCTCCATGACGACAAACAGTCCCTCTGAAACAGTTGTTATTTTGTGTTTTACAATTGTTTCTAGCTGTAAATGTTACTGCAGTAAAGTGTTCATGGTTTTACACTGATCCAGACCCAGAGCAGAGAGGATAGAAACAAGCGGAAATCCACTTATTTGAAAAACGCTAATAAAGCATTCAGAATTTCACTCTGAACCAAAGCAGAGAAAAGGTCTGAACCAAGCGGCCATCTAACCATCTATCTCTATCTATGTAAGTTTCTGGTTCTGGCCGTGTACGTCAACACAGACACAGCTGTATCTTCGGCCTCTGGTGCTCGCTCTGCAGAGTGTCATGGCCGCCGCTCGTAAACACTGAGCTATTGTTTAAACATCCACAGAGCACAGACGAAGCGTGTGGACGGTCACGGTCCACAGACGTCACGTGTGCAGATATAATATATACGTCTGCGGCGGAGGTTCTGTCTTCTTCGTGGTCAATGTTTAGCAAGTTGTAATGTTTTATCAAAGTTTAGAGATTTAAGCCCAAATGGCAGGTTCAAATTCTGCTTTCTTGCATGTTACTAAAGGATCTCTTCATCTTAATCTTTCACTAAAACATGATGTACAGTATTTATGATTATTATTACGTTTATTATTATTGTATATGGGTTTTATATAAAGTTTTTTGGACACAGCGGTGATAAACTACTAATGCAATAAAAACAAGGTGGACCAAAGTGCTATACATAAAAAGACATGCAAGATATACAATTAGAAAACATAGTGGCAAAAAGCGCACTATATACAGAAAAAAATCAATTCAAAATTCATTAAAAGTCATTCCATAATTTAGCAGACCTACATGTTTTTAGTGATAGGGAAAATCGTAGCACCTGGAGGAAACTCACCCAGACACAAGGAGAACATGCAAATTCCACACAGAAATGTACACACATCACCATTTCCATTCTGATTGTACATGACATACATTACCCGGTTTCTCTGATGCTTTTCAATCGTACGTTATGGACAGGCTAATGCTAGCAACATAATGCTAACGACATTAGCCAGAGCATGAAGCCCGGCCTTATCTCTCGACCCCTGCTGCCGTTGGTGCCGTCAGCCTCTGTATTCGGACCAGGCCTTGATCCACAACAGACTGAGCGGTGACCACGGCGTCTGACCCAGATTGTGTGTGTGCGGCCGGAGGTCTCACTGCGATGATCAAACTCTCACTGGAATGTGGAGTGAGTCACTTATCGTCCTGTTCCGCTGCCCAAGGAGCTGCCAAAGCACAAGGCATATGACAGGATGTATGACAGGTCAATGGGGGAAGACCAGACCAGACCAGACCAGAGACTAGGCCTGGGCAACCTGCTGTCCAGGGTCTAACTTCATTCCAATGTTTTTCACACCTAATTTAATGTGTGCGCACGCTCTATATCTATTAAATTCAACATCCAAATCCTTTTAGATTTTCTTTTGTTTGTGTCTGGGGCCAGGATGAGGTCTAGTCTGGGTGAACCTGGGCCGCCTTAATGGGTTATGTTTATGATGTGTTTGTGTGTGTGCGAAATGCGTCTTCTCATTATTTAACTGCAGAGAAAGTAAAGGTTTGGGCTCGAAACAGACACACAAACAGGAAAAAACCAAGAATCAAGCGTTTGTGGAAAGTTGTATGGCTCATTGTGGCTTTTTTATAATCATCAATAATTACTTTTAGTTTGACATAATATCTATCAACCATTAAAGAACTTATATACATTCTAAGTAGGGATGTAAATCGGTGACCGTTTAACCGGTGGTTGACCGTCACAGCGTTAACCGGTCAAAGCTGTCGGTTAAAAAAGAGAAAAGGGGGAGAGGGGAGGTCTCTTCATAACGCTATTTTAAGCCCTATTTGCACGATGTGACGAGCGGGTCTGTATCTAGCTGTGTGCGCCAATGTAACGGTAAACTCTGGGCCGACTCTCACGCCGTACGCGCCAAATACGCACGCACACATGTACACACACACACACACACACATTTCCCCCCCTCCATTGACACGTAACATCCACACGCATCATCTCTCCCCTCTGTTACCGCCTGCTAGTTGCACACTGGTGCGGGTCAGAACTACATTGGAGCTTATATTTACACACACACACATATACACACACACAGACATACACATACATACATGTATTGCACGCACACACATACATATACACACACACAGACATATACACATACATACATGTATTGCACGCACACACATACATATACACACACACAGACATATACACATACATACATGTATTGCACGCACACACATACATATACACACACACAGACATATTCACATACATGTATTGCACACACACACATAGCTTACATATACACACATACATACATGTATTGCACACACACACATACATATACACACACACAGACATATACACACATACATACATGTATTGTACACACACACATACCGGTCTGTCGCGCTCCTCTGTGTCACGGAGCCCAAAGCATTCTTGCAAATACACGGCTCCAGTCAAACCACATGGACCATGTTTGTGCTGCTGGTCCTTGGCATCAGCTCCACACTGATCACTTTTAAACTTTAGCGGAGACCTGCGAGACGCGGCTCGTCACTCGCTGCTCTGACCATGTGGACGAGCGGTCTTTTGCTTAAAAATGCTTTAAGCCGCAGCACAGAAGAATGGGAAGATTAAAACAGCAGTTCTCTGTGCGCGGTAAGGTGCCGAAGCTGTTACGGGTTTTGGTGCCGCTGTCTCGGCTCTGATCCCGTAGAACGCTCAGCTGCACTTATGAAAAGTACGCGGCTCGAAATGGCTGTTATTTCAAAGAACGTGGACTATTTTAAACTACGCGGTTAACCGGTTTCAACCGGTTAATGAGGCTCGGTGGTCGGTCATGAAAATTCATAGTTTTTTACATCCCTAATTCTAAGTTGTTTAATGTAACAGTTTTCTGCCTCGGCTCGACCCAGAAACGTCAGCGAGACTTGTCATCTCCGTTATTATAGGTCACTGCTGCGAGCGCATCACGGGGGAAGATAAAATGCCAGAGTAAAACCAACACACATTTGTCACTCAGTTTGCGGTTTAATGCGATACAACCCAGGAAAGTCGTTCTCCACAATATAACTTTTAAGTGAATAATGCAGATGTTTTGGAGCATTGTATTTTATCATTAAAGGGAAGGTGAGGTGCAAGAGGTGCAATAAAAACAAAAACAAATAAAATAAAACAAATAAAATAGAAGAAAAAACATCAGCTGATTGCTAACTTGATCTGGTTCTGCTTCTGTTAGCTCGTTTTCAGCTAAAATTGTGTAGATGGAGTGTGTTATAATGGGACGGAATTGAGAAGACTTGTCTATTATACACACAGAGACGCGCACAAAGACGCGCACAGAGACGCGCACAGAGACGCGCACAGAGAAAGAGACGCGCACAGAGACGCGCACAGAGACGCGCACAGAGACGCACACAGAGGAAGAGACAAAGAGACACACACAGAGGAAGAGACAAAGACACACACAGAGAAAGAGACACACACAGAGGAAGAGACAGAGACACACACAGAGAGATATACAGAGAGAGAGACACACAGAGACGCGCACAGAGAGGAAGAGACACATACAGAGAGACACACAGAGAGAGACACAGAGAGAGAGACAGAGACACACAGGGAGAGAAAAAGAGACAGACACGGAGAGAGAGACAGAGACACGGAGAGAGAGACAGAGACACGGAGAGAGAGACAGAGACACGGAGAGAGAGACAGAGACACGGAGAGAGAGACATAGACACGGAGAGAGAGACAGAGACACGGAGAGAGAGACAGAGACACGGAGAGAGAGACATAGACACGGAGAGAGAGACAGAGACACGGAGAGAGAGACAGAGACACGGAGAGAGAGACAGAGACACGGAGAGAGAGACAGAGACACGGAGAGAGAGACAGAGACACGGAGAGAGAGACAGAGACACGGAGAGAGGCAGAGAGACACGGAGAGAGAGACGGAGAGACACGGAGAGAGGCAGAGAGACACGGAGAGAGAGACAGAGACACGGAGAGAGAGACAGAGACACGGAGAGAGAGACAGAGACACGGAGAGAGAGACAGAGACACGGAGAGAGAGACAGAGACACGGAGAGAGAGACAGAGACACGGAGAGAGAGACAGAGACACGGAGAGAGAGACAGAGACACGGAGAGAGAGACAGAGACACGGAGAGAGAGACAGAGACACGGAGAGAGAGACAGAGACACGGAGAGAGAGACAGAGACAACGGAGAGAGAGACCAGAGAGAGACACGAGAGAGAGACCAGAGAGAGACACGAGAGAGACCAGAGAGAGACCAGAGAGAGACCAGAGAGAGAGACCAGAGAGAGACCAGAGAGAGACAGAGAGAGAGACAGAGAGCGAGACAGAGAGCGAGACAGAGAGCGAGACAGAGAGCGAGACAGAGAGCGAGACAGAGAGCGAGACAGAGAGCGAGACAGAGAGCGAGACAGAGAGCGAGACAGAGAGAGACACAGACATTCAAATGGTCGATTAAAAACATGGTTGTTGGAGTTTCCACTGCTTTGAGCCTATAGAGTCGCAGCAGAATGTTGTCATGTCTCTGAGACTCAAACTAAAGCCAATATTCATGAATTCTTCTGTTTTTCCTCAACAGTTCCAGAAACAACAAGAGGAGGAGTCTGGCGGCTGCGACTCCCTCTCCCACTCTCTCCAGACCTCTGTCACCTCTGCCTCTCTCCACAGGTCAGTCCCTCCTCTCTCCCCTCTCTCCTCTGCTCTCCTTTCTCTTCTTTCCTCTCTCTTCTCCCTCTTTTCTTTCCTCTCTCCTCTCCTCTCTCTCTTCTCTCTCCTCTCTCCTCTCCTCTCCCCTCTCCTCTCTTTTCTCTCCTCTCCTCTCCTCTCTCTCCTCTCTCCTCTCCTCTCTCCCTCTCCTCTCTTTTTCTCTCTCCTCTCCTCTCCTCTCTCTCCTCTCCTCTCTCTCCTCTCTCCTCTCTCCTCTCCTCTCCTCTCTCTCCTATCCTCTCCTCTCCCCCTCTCTTCTCTCCTCTCTCTCTTCTCTCCTCCTCTCTCCTCTCTCTCTCCTCTCTCCTCTCCTCTCTCTCCTCTCTCCTCTCCTCTCTCTCTCTCCTCTCCTCTCTCTCCTCTCTCCTCTCCTCTCCTCTCTCCTCTCCTCTCTCTCCTCTCTCTCTCTCCTCTCCTCTCTCCTCTCCTCTCTCCTCTCCTCACCTCTCCTCTCTCCCCTATCCTCTCCTCTCTCTCCTCTCTCCTCTCTCTCCTCTCCTCTCCCCTCTCCTCTCTTCTCTCTCCTCTCCTTCTCCACTCTTTCTTCTCTCCTTCTCCACTCTTCTCTCCCTCTCTCTCCCCTCTCTTCTCTCTCCTCTCCTCTCCTCTCTCCTCTCGTCTCTCCCCTCTCTTGTCTCCTCTCTCCCCTCTCTTCTCTCTCCTCTCTCCTCTCTCACTGTGCATAAAAATATGGTTTGACCTCCAGTATCCATTCCATGTCCTCTGGTCTCCTGTTGTTTTAACCTCCCTGAGCCTGTACCTTTGCTCCTCTGGTTTCCTCTGAGCCTGTACCTTTGCTCCTCTGGTTTCCTCTGAGCCTGTACCTTTGCTCCTGTGGTTTGCTCTGAGCCTGTACCTTTGCTCCTCTGGTTTGCTCTGAGCCTGTACCTTTGCTCCTCTGGTTTGCTCTGAGCCTGTACCTTTGCTCCTCTGGTTTGCTCTGAGCCTGTACCTTTGCTCCTCTGGTTTGCCCTGAGCCTGTACCTTTGCTCCTCTGGTTTGCTCTGAGCCTGTACCTTTGCTCCTCTGGTTTGCTCTGAGCCTGTACCTTTGCTCCTCTGGTTTGCTCTGAGCCTGTACCTTTGCTCCTCTGGTTTGCCCTGAGCCTGTACCTTTGCTCCTCTGGTTTGCTCTGAGCCTGTACCTTTGCTAATCTGGTTTGACTCTGAGCCTGTACCTTTGCTCCTCTGGTTTTACTCTGAGCCTGTACCTTTGCTCCTCTGGTTTGCAGCTGGAAGCAGTCCCTCAGAAAGTCCCAGGAATGTCTCTGCCAGCTCCTCCGCCAACTTCCAGTTCGCCCGCAGGTAATCGGCCAATCACCGCCATGACACCCTATTGTATTAAGACGCTTCGGGAGCGGCCATGTTGCTCCTGGAGAGGCCATGTTGCTCCTGGAGCGGCCATGTTGCTCCTGGAGCGGCCATGTTGCTCCTGGAGAGGCCATGTTGCTCCTGGAGAGTTGCTTGTTCTGGTCTTTGGGAGAGTTAGGGTTTTAAAGGAGACCGAGTGGATCCAAGCTTCATGTTCCTCTCTCTCTGTATCCAGGGTTTGTGGAAAGAGACCGAGAATTTGCAGGTTTCTCTCATTAACCCTATGAACCCGTCTGCATCGGCGCCGATGCATGCACACATGTTTTACAAATGATCAATTTACTCGCGAACGGTAAAACGTAGCAACTTACTTTTTTTCCCTCTGTGAAGTACGTATTCAGGGCTTTGATTTGTCTGTGCGATGCACGGAGGATAAACTACGTTTGTCTGAAAGTCCGTGTCCAAAGCGTGACCCGTGAGGTACAAACAGCTGTGAGATACAAACACACGGGGACTGCCAAAGATCGTCAGAGAGTGAGATGTCTCACTCCTCTGCGTTTACTTGTTGTACCACAGTTGAAACTACAGCTGCGATTGCAATAACCGGCTGAAGAGTGCGCATTATTGATAAAGACGATAATAAATACAGCAAAATGACATTATGTGTATATGATGTATATAAATATATGTATTATATAAATAATTTATGTTTTTTTTTTTTTGGCTCAGTTTCTTATGTTTTACGTTTTTTACAGCTGTACTACAGAAGCAACCCCAGCATTATAGACAAACTGCTTCAGGAAGGGCATCAGGAGTACAGAGTTTTTTGCTTTTATAGTGGAATTTTGTAAAAAGTATAATAGTTAGAGATTCAATTTTTTTCCCCATTATCCCCAAGACCATAAATAACATTTCTATGCAGTGTAAAACGTTGTTTATAGCATTTCATTGTGTTTTTTCAATACATTTTTGTTAAATTGATTTTCCGTTTGATTTTTTTCTTTGTCTTCATGATTCCATAATTTTTATATAATTCATATGACATATTTACAATATGAATATTCTAAAACCCCAGGTTGTACTGAAAAAAACAAAGTATACTGCTTGACTCTGCATCAAAAAATGACTGTTTTATGAACAATTATACACAAAGAAAACCAGGCGAGGAGAGTTCCCCAAAATGAACCATGTGCATAGAGGGTTAATATCAAAAGCTGGATACAGGGTTGTTCTGATGAGTTCTCAATGTGTGTCTGCTGCTACTGCTGCTACTGCTGCTACTGCTGCTACTACTGCTGCTGCTGCTACCACTGCTACTGCTGCTACTGCTGCTACTACTGCTACTGCTGCTACTGCTGCTACTACTGCTGCTGCTACTACTGCTGCTGCTGCTACTACTGCTACTACTACTGCTGCTGCTGCTACTACTGCTACTGCTGCTACTGCTGCTACTACTGCTGCTACTGCTGCTGCTACTGCTGCTACTGCTGCTACTACTGCTGCTACTGCTGCTACTGCTGCTGCTGCTGCTGCTACTGCTGCTACTGCTGCTACTGCTGCTGCTACTGCTGCTGCTACTGCTGCTGCTACTACTTCTACTCACTGTAAATATCCACATTGTTATGAAACCCTTTTCTTTGCCTCTGCTTTTATTCATCATTTCGTTAAGAAGAAAGCTCCACAGCCACAAACTCTAAGATTCTGCTTCATTGGGGGCACGGCGGCAGAGTGGTTAGCTCTCTGGCTTCTCTGCTGGGACTGTGTGCTTTTGAAAACAGTAGTATGGAAAATGACCCAAGGTTAAACTTTGGTCTGCACATTAGCTGTTAGCTTTATGACCTATATCAGGGGTGTCAAACTTGTTTTGGTTGAGGGCCGATTAAAAAAAGGGTTACAACTGATAATAAATGTATGATTATTTAATTGAATATTGCAATACTTTCCTCTACTGTACGCAAAATATCGCGATACTGAACAGAATCGATTTTCCCCCACCACTAAAACAGGCACCAGGGTTTCTCCACATGTGCATGATGTCATCTGGCCGAGCTCAAAAGTACATTTTTCCTCCATTTCTGTGAGAAAAGCCACACGGAAAAACATCACACTCATAAAGTTTGTTTGCAAATATGGTCCGAGTGCAGTTCTCTTCTTTCTGCTTCCCCCAAAAGATGTAAAGTGGCTGTGAGCGCAGAGAGAGAGCAGAGGGAGAGAGAGCAGAGGGAGAGAGAGCAGAGGGAGAGAGAGCAGAGGGAGAGAGAGCAGAGGGAGAGAGAGCAGAGGGAGAGAGAGCAGAGGGAGAGAGAGCAGAGGGAGAGAGAGCAGAGGGAGAGAGAGCAGAGGGAGAGAGAGCAGAGGGAGAGAGAGCAGAGGGAGAGAGAGCAGAGGGAGAGAGCAGAGAGAGAGAGCAGAGAGAGAGAGCAGAGAGAGAGGCAGAGAGAGAGAGCAGAGAGAGAGAGCAGAGGGAGAGAGAGAGCAGAGAGCAGAGGGAGAGAGAGAGCAGAGGGCAGAGGGAGGAGAGAGCAGAGGGAGAGAGAGCAGAGAGAGAGCAGAGGGAGGAGAGAGCAGAGGGAGAGAGAGCAGAGAGAGAGCAGAGAGCAGAGGGAGAGAGAGCAGAGAGAGAGCAGAGAGCAGAGGGCAGAGGGAGCAGAGAGAGAGCAGAGGGAGAGAGAGCAGAGAGAGAGCAGAGGGAGGAGAGAGCAGAGAGCAGAGGGAGAGAGAGCAGAGAGAGAGAGAGCAGAGGGAGGAGAGAGAGCAGAGAGCAGAGGGAGAGAGAGCAGAGGGAGAGAGAGCAGAGGGAGAGAGAGCAGAGGGAGAGAGAGAGAGAGCAGAGAGAGAGAGCAGAGAGAGAGAGAGCAGAGAGAGCAGAGGGAGGAGAGAGCAGAGGGAGAGAGAGCAGAGAGAGAGAGAGCAGAGAGGAGGAGAGAGCAGAGGGAGAGAGAGCAGAGAGAGAGAGGGAGAGAGAGCAGAGAGAGAGAGAGCACAGGGAGAGAGAGACAGAGAGAGAGGAGAGAGAGAGAGAGAGAGAGAGAGAGAGAGAGAGAGAGAGAGAGCAGAGGGAGGAGAGAGCAGAGGGAGAGAGAGCAGAGAGAGAGAGAGAGCAGAGGGAGGAGAGAGCAGAGGGAGAGAGAGCAGAGGGAGAGAGAGCAGAGAGAGAGAGAGCAGAGGGAGAGAGAGAGAGAGAGAGCAGAGGGAGAGAGAGAGCAGAGGGAGAGAGAGCAGAGAGAGAGAGAGCAGAGGGAGAGAGAGAGAGAGAGAGCAGAGGGAGAGAGAGCAGAGAGAGCACAGGGAGAGAGAGAGAGAGAGCCGAGGGAGAGAGAGCAGAGAGCACAGGGAGAGCAGAGGGAGAGAGAACAGAGAGAGCACAGGGAGAGCAGAAGGAGAGAGCACAGGGAGAGAGCACAGGGAGAGAGAGCACAGGCAGAGGGAGAGAGCAGAGGGAGAGAGAGAGCAGAGGGACAGAGAGCAGAGAGAGAGCAGAGGGAGAGCACAGGCAGAGGGAGAGAGAGCAGAGAGCAGAGGGAGAGAGAGCAGAGGGACAGAGAGCAGAGAGCAGAGGGAGAGGGAGAGAGAGCAGAGGGAGAGGGAGAGAGAGCAGAGGGAGAGACCAGCAGGCTCCACACCATTACTATGGGAAACGCACATGGTTTTAAGCTTATAAAAGTGGATTTATCATTTTGAGTCCTTTTCTCTGCCGCACTTTTTAAGACGATGCAACCTTTTGAGAGTAAATTTCCAAGTGTTGTGCTTATCTCCCGCCTGTTAGCTTTGCGCAGCTTTTTGGCTCTCGCTAGCATGACTCATCACATTTAGCCTGTTCTCGGTGCTGCGCCTGCACTTTGGGAGATCCTCCGGGTGCGTTTAGCCTCCGCTCCGGATTCAAAGTACCATTTTCTTTGGAGGTTACTGTGGCATCGTGTCATTATGATGTAACGGAGACTCCATGCTCTCCAGCCCTGCTCTGATCCAGATGGGAACGGCAAGAGATTAAGGATTTGGGCAAATGACATGGATTTTTCTGAACCCAGAGAGAGAGAGCAGAGAGGAGCGAGGCCAGAGAGAAGAGAGAAAGAGGCCAGAGAGAGAGAGGCCAGAGAGAGGCCAGAGAGAGAGAGGCCAGAGAGAGAGAGGCCAGAGAGAGAGAGGCCAGAGAGAGAGAGGCCAGAGAGAGAGAGGCCAGAGAGAGAGAGGCCAGAGAGAGAGAGGCCAGAGAGAGAGAGGCCAGAGAGAGAGAGGCCAGAGAGAGAGAGGCCAGAGAGAGAGAGGCCAGAGAGAGAGAGGCCAGAGAGAGAGAGGCCAGAGAGAGAGAGGCCAGAGAGAGAGGCCAGAGAGAGAGAGGGCAGCTAGAGAGGCCAGAGAGAGAGAGAGGCCAGAGAGAGGGAGAGGCCAGAGAGAGAGAGAAGCCAGAGAGGGAGAGAAGCCAGAGAGGGAGAGGCCAGAGAGGGAGAGGCCAGAGAGGGAGAGGCCAGAGAGGGAGAGGCCAGAGAGGGAGAGGCCAGAGAGGGAGAGGCCAGAGAGGGAGAGGCCAGAGAGGGAGAGGCCAGAGAGAGAGGGCAGCTAGAGAGGCCACAGAGAGGGAGAGGCCAGAGAGGGAGAGGCCACAGAGAGAGAGAGGCCAGAGAGAGAGAGAGGCCAGAGAGAGAGAGAGGCCAGAGAGAGAGAGAGGCCAGAGAGGGAGAGGCCAGAGAGAGAGAGGCCAGAGAGAGACCTTATACTTCCTGAACCCAGAGGTGAAAGTCTCTTCCTGCTGCTGTTGACATTTGGTCCTGGAACAAACCCAGAAATTGATTTTTGAAACACTTCTAATCTCGCAGCCTCTAAGCCTCAATATGTGAGAAACCGTCCTGGCCGCAGTAATCTGACCTGGGATCCTCTGGGGGTTCATCACGGCTTGTTCCCGAGACCTGATTTATGGAAGAAAACATTAAATTATGATGGTTTTACGAGGGTCGGATTGGGTTTAGGGGAAAAGCAGCACAAAGGATTTCTAATCTATAAGACGGCTGCGAGGCTGAAAACAATCTCAGTCTGATCCATATTAATGTCTTTGTGAGTGCTCTGACTGAAATAGAAAATCTGGAGAGCACTAAAGATGGATTCATGTGGGATTTTGGGCATTGGGGAATTTATGGTTGTTTTTTGTTTTTGTTTAGATCCACATTTGCTTCTGTAAATTGTAGTAGATATTTATCCTTGGGTTTATAATCAATGTCACAAAAATAAATGTACAAAAGAAAATGCTTTAACAGAAATACAGATATATAAAAATATACAGTGACCATAAACACCTAAACTGCTGACCAGAGAGAGAGACCAGAGAGAGGCCAGAGAGAGAGGCCAGAGAGAGAGGCTAGAGAGAGAGAGGCTAGAGAGAGAGAGGGGCCAGAGAGAGAGAGACCAGAGAGAGAGACCAGAGAGAGAGGCCAGAGAGAGGGGCCAGAGAGAGAGAGACCAGAGAGAGAGACCAGAGAGAGAGAGACCAGAGAGAGAGAGACCAGAGAGAGAGAGACCAGAGAGAGGCCAGACCAGAGAGAGAGGCCAGAGAGACCAGAGAGAGACCAGAGAGAGTCCAGAGAGAGGCCAGAGAGAGAGGCCAGAGAGAGAGGCTAGAGAGAGAGAGAGGCTAGAGAGAGAGAGGGGCTAGAGAGAGAGGGGCCAGAGAGAGAGAGACCAGAGAGAGAGAGACCAGAGAGAGAGAGACCAGAGAGAGAGAGACCAGAGAGAGAGACCAGAGAGAGAGAGACCAGAGAGACCAGAGAGAGGCCAGACCAGAGAGAGAGAGGCCAGAGAGACCAGAGAGCGAGAGAGAGGCTAGAGAGAGGCCAGAGAGAGAGGCCAGAGAGAGACCAGAGAGAGACCAGAGAGAGGCCAGAGAGAGGCCAGAGAGAGAGGCCAGAGAGAGGCCAGAGAGAGACCAGAGAGAGACCAGAGAGAGACCAGAGAGAGACCAGAGAGAGACCAGAGAGAGACCAGAGAGAGACCAGAGAGAGACCAGAGAGAGAGAGACCAGAGAGAGAGAGGCCAGAGAGAGAGGCCAGAGAGAGAGGCCAGAGAGAGAGGCCAGAGAGAGAGGCCAGAGAGAGAGGCCAGAGAGAGAGGCCAGAGAGAGAGGCCAGAGAGAGAGGCCAGAGAGAGAGGCCAGAGAGAGAGGCCAGAGAGAGAGGCCAGAGAGAGAGACCAGAGAGAGAGGCTAGAGAGAGAGGCTAGAGAGAGAGAGGGGCTAGAGAGAGGGGCCAGAGAGAGAGAGACCAGAGAGAGAGACCAGAGAGAGAGAGACCAGAGAGAGAGACCAGAGAGAGAGAGACCAGAGGGACCAGAGAGAGGCCAGACCAGAGAGAGAGAGGCCAGAGAGAGAGAGACCAGAGAGCGAGAGAGAGGCTAGAGAGAGGCCAGAGAGAGAGGCCAGAGAGAGACCAGAGAGAGACCAGAGAGAGGCCAGAGAGAGGCCAGAGAGAGAGGCCAGAGAGAGGCCAGAGAGAGACCAGAGAGAGACCAGAGAGAGACCAGAGAGAGACCAGAGAGAGACCAGAGAGAGAGAGACCAGAGAGAGAGACCAGAGAGAGAGACCAGAGAGAGAGACCAGAGAGAGAGAGGCCAGAGAGAGAGGCCAGAGAGAGAGGCCAGAGAGAGAGGCCAGAGAGAGAGGCCAGAGAGAGAGGCCAGAGAGAGAGGCCAGAGAGAGAGGCCAGAGAGAGAGGCCAGAGAGAGAGGCCAGAGAGAGAGGCCAGAGAGAGAGACCAGAGAGAGAGACCAGAGAGAGAGACCAGAGAGAGAGACCAGAGAGAGAGACCAGAGAGAGAGACCAGAGAGAGAGACCAGAGAGAGAGACCAGAGAGAGAGACCAGAGAGAGAGACCAGAGAGAGAGACCAGAGAGAGAGACCAGAGAGAGAGACCAGAGAGAGAGACCAGAGAGAGAGACCAGAGAGAGAGACCAGAGAGAGAGACCAGAGAGAGAGACCAGAGAGAGAGACCAGAGAGAGAGACCAGAGAGAGACCAGAGAGAGACCAGAGAGAGACCAGAGAGAGACCAGAGAGAGACCAGAGAGAGACCAGAGAGAGACCAGAGAGAGACCAGAGAGAGACCAGAGAGAGACCAGAGAGAGACCAGAGAGAGACCAGAGAGAGGCCAGAGAGAGGCCAGAGAGAGGCCAGAGAGAGACCAGAGAGAGACCAGAGAGAGACCAGAGAGAGACCAGAGAGAGGCCAGAGAGAGAGTCCAGAGAGAGACCAGAGAGAGACCAGAGAGAGACCAGAGAGAGACCAGAGAGAGACCAGAGAGAGACCAGAGAGAGACCAGAGAGAGACCAGAGAGAGACCAGAGAGAGGCCAGAGAGAGACCAGAGAGAGGCCAGAGAGAGAGACCAGAGAGAGACCAGAGAGAGGCTAGAGAGAGGCCAGAGAGAGACCAGAGAGAGAGACCAGAGAGAGACCAGAGAGAGAGAGACCAGAGAGAGGCCAGAGAGAGAGAGAGACCAGAGAGAGCCCAGATGCTTCAACAAAAATACACACAAAAACGCACAAAAAAATAGTTTTAAATATGTCTGAGTAACATGTGATGCCACGATGATAAAAACAGAAGGAAAACCTCCTGCTTTTATCATCAGCTGCTCATGAGGATAATACTGCCTTTCATTTCACTGCAGACTCACAACAGTTACTTAATGTTAGCAGGGGTTATTCAAGGGTCTCTCTCTGGTCTCTCTCTGGTCTCTCTCTGGTCTCTCTCTGGTCTCCCTCTGGTCTCCCTCTGGTCTCTCTCTGGTCTCCTAGTGTCTCTCTGGTCTCCCTCTGGTCTCCCTCTGGTCTCTCTCTGGTCTCCCTCTAGTGTCTCTCTGGTCTCTCTCTGGTCTCCCTCTAGTGTCTCTCTGGTCCCTCTCTGGTCCCTCTCTGTTCCCTCTCTGTTCCCTCTCTGGTCTCTCTCTGGTCTCTCTCTGGTCTCTCTCTGGTCTCTCTCTGGTCTCTCTCTGGTCTCTCTCTGGTCTCTCTCTGGTCTCTCTCTGGTCTCTCTCTGGTCTCTCTCTGGTCTCTCTCTGGTCTCTCTCTGGTCTCTCTCAGGTCTCTCTCAGGTCTCTCTCAGGTCTCTCTCTGGTCTCTCTCTGGTCTTACATTTGCTGTAGTTTGAGCTGAAAGTTGGGTACCTCAGCTTTATATCTATGTCCCCCTCTCCCTTGTTTACAAATACATAATTTAAATTGTGACATAATTCTTATTTTCTTTGTTTCTGCCTCCTCCTCTTCCTCTTCCTCCTGCTCCTCCTCCTCCTCCTCGCCGCTTGGATATCGCAGCCAGCTCGCCCGCAACGAGAGGTGAGAACGTTTTTTTGGTTCTTCTCAGCTTCCTGCAATTATCTGATGTAACCAATCACATTTCACTGAGCCGTAAGACTGACTGTGTTTTTGCTTCAAACCGCTGCTCGAGAAAATAAAATACAAATCTCTCGTTTTACTGTTACATTCACATTATACAAAAGACTGGTTTGTTTTTAAAGACTGATATAAAACTTTATTACAGACTCAAGGTCCAGATCAACACAAAAAAAGTTTCAGTTTGTGTTTAAAACCAGTCCAAGTGACCTCTGCGCGTAGACTGGGACCAGGGTCAAACCGGTTTGGGAGCAACAGAATTGTTTTAATTTTTTATTTATTTAGCTACATGACATTATTATGGCTTTATAATCTATTCTGCGCCATCTCCACTGGGCCGTTTTATTGATCTTAAAAGTGTCGCTGCGGATGTTAACAAAGAACCTCAGAGTTTTAACTTTTACAGTTTTATTCCGTTGTTATTTGCAGGATAAATACCAAGTGTTAAATTACACAATTGGACTTGTTTTGTTATGTTGGCTCTCGTTTAAAGGGGAAAAGGCAGTTCCTCAGCCGGGATCAGAGCTGGATCAGTTTTCTCCTGACAAGTTCATAATGTTCTCCCGATAAAGGCATTATCTGTAAATGTTTGGACGATCAGATATTATTACAGGGTTTCTCACTTTTGAAGGATTGTGTGGCTCCGTAAACGAATAAAACATGTGTCTCAACCAGTGTGGGCGGGTCCCGGCTCAGAAGTGTCCAAAATGACGTGCGCTGACATGCTGCAATACCACCCCGGGCCTGTGGGGGTGGACCCGTAATAAGAATTAGCCAATGCTAACATATAGCATTGGCAGACCTCTCGAAAACGTCTTTACAGGATGGACCAAAAGTTGGCTCTTGGCCCAAAGCTCCGTTCCACATGTGTGTCAATGCTGAGGGAGTGTTCTGGACCAGTCTAGTTTAGTTGCTGTGGACTTTTGAAGTTACTCGTTCAAATGAATGGAGCTGCGCCGGCTGACGCTGCGCAGATGGTCTCTGGTCTCTCTCTCTGGTCTCTCTCTCTGGTCTCTCTCTCTGGTCTCTCTCTGGTCTCTCTCTGGTCTCTCTCTGGTCTCTCTCTATGGTCTCTCTCTCTGGTCTCTCTCTCCGGTCTCTCTCTGGTCTCTCCCTGGTCTCTCCCTGCTCTCTCTCTGGTCTCTCTCTGGTCTCTCCCTGCTCTCTCTCTGGTCTCTCTCTGGTCTCTCTCTGGTCTCTCTCTCTGGTCTCTCCCTGCTCTCTCTCTGGTCTCTCTCTCTAGTCTCTCTCTAGTCTCTCTCTGGTCTCTCTCTCTGATCTCTCCCTGCTCTCTCTCTGGTCTCTCTCTGGTCTCTCTCTCTGGTCTCTCTCTGGTCTCTCTCTCTAGTCTCTCTCTAGTCTCTCTCTGGTCTCTCTCTGGTCTCTCTCTCTGGTCTCTCTCTGGTCTCTCTCTGGTCTCTCTCCCTGCTCTCTCTCTGGTCTCTCTCTGGTCTCTCTGGTCTCTCTCTCTGATCTCTCTCTGGTCTCTCTCTGGTCTCTCTCTAGTCTCTCTCTGGTCTCTCTCTCTAGTCTCTCTCTCTAGTCTCTCTCTCTAGTCTCTCTCTGGTCTCTCTCTAGTCTCTCTCCCTGCTCTCTGGTCTCTCTCTGATCTCTCCCTGCTCTCTCCCTGCTCTCTCTCTGGTCTCTTTCTGGTCTCTCTCTCTAGTCTCTCTCTGGTCTCTCTCTAGTCTCTCTCTAGTCTCTCTCTAGTCTCTCTCTGGTCTCTCTCTAGTCTCTCTCTAGTCTCTCTCTGGTCTCTCTCTCTAGTCTCTCTCTAGTCTCTCTCTGGTCTCTCTCTGGTCTCTCCCTGCTCTCTCTCTGGTCTCTCTCTCTGGTCTCTCTCTCTGGTCTCTCTCTGGTCTCTCTCTCTCTCTCTCTGATCTCTCCCTGCTCTCTCTCTGGTCTCTCTCTGGTCTCTCTCTCTAGTCTCTCTCTGGTCTCTCTCTCTAGTCTCTCTCTAGTCTCTCTCTGGTCTCTCTCTCTAGTCTCTCTGGTCTCTCTCTGGTCTCTCCCTGCTCTCTCTCTGGTCTCTCTCTGGTCTCTCTCTCTGGTCTCTCTCTGGTCTCTCTCTCTGGTCTCTCTCTCTGGTCTCTCTCTGGTCTCTCTCTCTAGTCTCTCTCTAGTCTCTCTCTGGTCTCTCTCTGGTCTCTCCCTGCTCTCTCTCTGGTCTCTCTCTGGTCTCTCTCTCTGGTCTCTCTCTCTGGTCTCTCTCTGGTCTCTCTCTCTGGTCTCTCTCTCTGGTCTCTCTCTGGTCTCTCTCTCTAGTCTCTCTCTGGTCTCTCTCTGGTCTCTCTCTCTAGTCTCTCTCTGGTCTCTCTCTCTGGTCTCTCTCTCTAGTCTCTCTCTAGTCTCTCTCTAGTCTCTCTCTAGTCTCTCTCTGGTGTCTCTCTCTAGTCTCTCTCTGGTGTCTCTCTCTAGTCTCTCTCTTGTCTCTCTCTGGTCTCTCTCTGGTCTCTCTCTGGTCTCTCTCTGGTCTCTCTCTGGTCTCTCTCAGGTCTCTCTCTCTAGTCTCTCTCTCTGGTCTCTCTCTGGTCTCTCTCTAGTCTCTCTCTCTGGTCTCTCTCAGGTCTCTCTCTGCTCTCTCTCACACAGCTGTATGTAAACAGGTTTAGAATCGATACAGAGCCAACACTTATTAAAGTCTGGAGGTCTTGACTTGTCCTGAGTTTGAGGAAAGCGTGGCACAGTTTTGCCTCCAGCCTGAAATGAGCTTTGGCAGGTTAGTGTTGGAGTCGGAACACTGTGCTCCGTGGAAAAGCAGAGTCACTACAGGGGAATAAGTTCATGTTAGAAGTTTATGTAACAACAAAATGTCCGCTCTGGTTGTTTGAGAATGGCTGACGTCACTCTGAGTGGTCACTTTTGAATTACACTGGATTTGACTGAAAAAAGGCATTCAAGAGAGTTGAGATATGTTAAGACTGGTCTAAAGGTGACAGATTCATCAAACTAATGTTGTAAATGTGTTTGTTTTTTTAGGCCCGATGGCAGGAGGTGGTCTGTGGCCTCGGTCCCCTCGTCCGGATACTGCACCAACGCCCCCAGCTCCTCAGTCTCGGTGAGTTTCACTGGAATCTGACGTTGATACTGCGCTTTGAACCTTCATCCAGCTTCATATATTGAAGTTTTTTTATTTATTTTTTTTAAGCATTTTTTTCTACTCAACATTTGCCTCAGCTTTAGGGTTGTCATGGTAACCTGCAACCCCCCCCCTCTCTCTGGTCTCTCTCTCTGGTCTCTCTCTGGTCTCTCTCTGGTCTCTCTCTCTGGTCTCTCTCTGGTCTCTCTCTGGTCTCTCTCTCTAGTCTCTCTCTGGTCTCTCTCTCTAGTTTCTCTCTAGTCTCTCTCTGGTCTCTCCCTGCTCTCTCTCTGGTCTCTCTCTCTGGTCTCTCTCTGGTCTCTCTCTCTAGTCTCTCTCTGGTCTCTCTCTCTGGTCTCTCCCTGCTCTCTCTCTGGTCTCTCTCTGGTCTCTCACTGCTCTCTCTCTGGTCTCTCTCTGGTCTCTCTCTCTGGTCTCTCTCTCTCTGGTCTCTCTCTCTAGTCTCTCTCTGGTCTCTCTCTCTGGTCTCTCTCTGGTCTCTCTCTGGTCTCTCTCTAGTCTCTCTCTGGTCTCTCTCTCTAGTCTCTCTCTGGTCTCTCTCTGGTCTCTCTCTGGTCTCTCTCTGGTCTCTCTCTGGTCTCTCTCTCTGGTCTCTCTCTGGGCTCTCTCTCTAGTCTCTCTCTGGTCTCTCTCTGGTCTCTCCCTGCTCTCTCTCTGGTCTCTCTCTGGTCTCTCTCTGGTCTCTCTCTGCTCTCTCTCTGGTCTCTCTCTGGTCTCTCTCTCTAGTCTCTCTCTGGTCTCTCTCTCTGGTCTCTCCCTGCTCTCTCTCTTTTCAAGGCTGTAAATAAAACCTACAGCTGGGCAATATGGATAAAAACAAATTATTGCAATATATTTTACTATATTTACCGAGATATTTTTAACAGGCCTCTTTCTGCAAATGGCAAATAAATTCTTGAATCTTGAATAACCCCCCCAAAAGCAATATGACTGATTGACGTAAGCAAGGGGAGGGGCGGCAAAAGCAAAGAGGCCGGGGCAAGCGCAGCATAGAGAAGGCAAGCGAGCAGCAGAAGTGAAATAAATACATTGATTTATACGATTATGTCAAAATTCATATAGAGTTTAAAAAATACCTCGATATATTTAAAACAACTGATGTATCGCCCATGTCAAACTGCTGTTTCCATCCATCCATTTTTATACGTTCCCGGGTTGTGGCTTATACATTTTTTTCTGGCTTTAAAACAATTGAAACTTTAGCAAATCATCTCAAGTGCTTCCTGTAAGATTCTGAGGAGCCTGCGTACCCCTGTTTGGGAAACATTGGTATAAGATACGAGGGAAAACGATTAGAATGAGGAAGTTCTGGGCGATATGGCTGAAGACTATATCACAATATGAGTCATATCGGTCGATAACGATATATATTGATTGTTTTTTATTTATTTTTTTAAACCTAAATAAATACATTTGTTGTGTCGGCTAACACATGTCAGCAGCCTTGTTTACAGTCACGGGGGATGAGGCTGGAGGCAAAAGTTCACAAGCAGTCTCCCCCATAGTTAGTCCTGGTTTAATCCTGGTTTAGTCCTGGTTTAGTCCTGGTTTAGTCCTGGTTTAGTCCTGGTTTAGTCCTGGTTTAGTCCTGGTTTAGCTGTTTTTGAGTGTCTTGTGTCCCTGTGACGGCTCCGGAAAAGGTTAATCTCTTGCTTTTGCCGAATGCATGGAGTCTCGAGTCTCTGTACCCACTGCCTCTCCCGCTGCACATGCTGTTCCTCACACGGACGTGTTTAACCTTTGACACGGCCTGAAACACCATCTTTAGATCCATGGCTATTTTAATAGATCCATGATCCATGGACGCTTGTTTTTGCATTTCCCAGAATGTTTAGCGGTTTGTGGTCGGCTGTGATAGGTCGAGAGCCCTCTGCCTACATCCCCCAGAATGCAGCGTGCTTCTGACACGGCTTTACTACCTGTGTTTTCTTCCTGTTTTTTTCTAACGGACTGAAGTGAAATTATCGAACATTCTATCGACCCCGTTTTCTATTGATATTGAACACGTGTCTATTGCAATATATATCGTTATCGTTTTATCGCCCAGCCCTAGAATGAGTCTAAAAAGCGATGTAAATGTTGATGTCATGTCCCCTTTAAGCTCCTAAACGTGAGGGTCCCAGCTGAACATACCACCTCCATCGTTCGTTGCCTTTTCCATGGGATCCATCTTGTGCCTCGGTCTTTAACGCGTGTCTGTGGACTGGTAAACAGAGGCCGGTGACTGACTCATCCACAAAGTCGCCGTTACGAGGACATAAACCTGTTCACACGACTGATTTATTCTATAGTGAAAGTGAACCCACAACTTACATACCAACAACACACGCAGAGATCAGAGAATTCACATAATGCACAGCTGCACGGCCTCTTAAAGGGACAGGACACGGAAAAAGTCTCATTTGAATTGTGTACATTGTGTCCTACTTTGCTGTTTTACTGTTATAACTCCTCAGACTGTGGAGAGCAGAGAGGCAGCAGGTTTTTCCATGGTGTGACTGAGTGTGTCAGCCCTGTTTGCTTTGATGAGCCACTCGTGTGTCATCCGCCAAAAGCACCTCTTCAAAACCTCAACGTCTCACTCTAGAGAAAACTATTCTTCTTCAGATCTGAGTTCTAACTAAGTATAGACTAGCTACTTCTTCTTGCCTCTCATTTGGCCCAATGTAGAGATTTTATACTTTTTTCTTTGATGCTAGAGTTAGACATTTTATTTTGTTTTAATTGGTATAGAGTTACTGTTTATTTATCTTGTGTTGTCTGCTTCTCATTCCTACTGTTCTGTAACTTGTGATGCAACACTGAAATTTCCCCCACTTTCCCCACGTGATCTGATTTTGAATAATAGTTTTATCTAGAGCTTTTTGGGACACTCAAGGACTCTTCACATGTCTTCATCCTTTCAACCCAAACACGATGATGATAAACTACTACTGTAGCCACAGCTGCCCTGGGGCACACAAACAGAAGCGAGGCAACCAGTCTGTGCCATCGGCCCCTCACACACCAGACTCATTCTAATGTGGGGGAAGTGTCTTGCCTAAGCCACATCCGCCCCACTATATTATTGCAGGGTTTCTCACTTCTTTAGGGATTGTGTGGCACCGTACAAAAATAAAACATGTGTCTCAACCCTGACCCTGTGTGGAGTGAGAGAGAGAGACCAGAGAGAGAGACCAGAGGGAGAGACCAGAGGGAGAGACCAGAGGGAGAGACCAGAGGGAGAGACCAGAGGGAGAGACCAGAGGGAGAGACCAGAGGGAGAGACCAGAGGGAGAGACCAGAGGGAGAGACCAGAGGGAGACCAGAGGGAGAGACCAGAGGGAGAGACCAGAGGGAGAGACCAGAGGGAGAGACCAGAGGGAGAGACCAGAGGGAGAGACCAGAGGGAGAGACCAGAGGGAGAGACCAGAGGGAGAGACCAGGGAGGGAGGAGAGACCAGAGGGAGAGACCAGAGAGAGAGACCAGAGAGAGAGACCAGAGAGAGAGACCAGAGAGAGAGACCAGAGAGAGAGACCAGAGAGAGAGACCAGAGAGAGAGACCAGAGAGAGAGACCAGAGCGAGAGAGGCCAGAGCGAGAGAGGCCAGAGCGAGAGAGGCCAGAGCGAGAGAGGCCAGAGCGAGAGAGGCCAGAGCGAGAGAGGCCAGAGCGAGAGAGGCCAGAGCGAGACCAGAGAGCGCGAGACCAGAGAGCGCGAGACCAGAGAGCGCGAGACCAGAGAGCGCGAGACCAGAGAGCGAGAGACCAGAGAGCGAGAGACCAGAGAGAGAGACCAGAGAGAGGCCAGAGCGAGAGAGACCAGAGAGAGAGACCATCTATGGTCCGTGTTCCCCAACCTTTTTGATCCATGGCACCTCACCAGTTGATTATTAAATATACAAAGTCATTCTCATCAAAGTGTATTACAGAGACAATCAAGAGCTTAAAGGTCTTTCTAATCTATTCTATCACTTCCCTTTTCCTTATTTTCAGAATCAGAGTTTATGTTCTTTATTTTCACCAATAAAGTGGTATTGGGTCATTTCCAAAGGCCCCAAGTTGCCACGGCAACCTGAGTGAAAAACACTGGCCCATAAAACCTTAAAACCTTTCTTACATTTACAAACACGACCCCACTTGACCAAAGCCGAGTCCCGTTCACCGTGAGGAAAGTCCCGCCTTCACTCCTCGCTGTAATCATTAAAATAACACCGCGCTGTTGATGCTTCGTTGGTCTTTGCCCAATGACCTCATCGAGTCCAGACCGCGCTGAGAGTCACATGCTAAGCTAGCTTACACCGCCATGTCCTGGAGGTTTAATATCCCCTTCTCAAAGTCTTGAGAAGGGGATGTCTGTCTCAGTATACATACCTCTGTCTCAGTATACATACATACCTCTGTCTCAGTATACATACAGACCTCTGTCTCAGTATACATACAGACCTCTGCCTCAGTATACATACATACCTCTGTCTCAGTATACATACATACCTCTGTCTCAGTATACATACATACATACCTCTGTCTCAGTATACATACAGACCTCTGCCTCAGTATACATACAGACCTCTGTCTCAGTATACATACATACCTCTGTCTCAGTATACATACAGACCTCTGTCTCAGTATACATACAGACCTCTGTCTCAGTATACATACATACCTCTGTCTCAGTATACATACAGACCTCTGCCTCAGTATACATACATACCTCTGTCTCAGTATACATACATACCTCTGTCTCAGTATACATACATACCTCTGTCTCAGTATACATACAGACCTCTGTCTCAGTATACATACAGACCTCTGCCTCAGTATACATACATACCTCTGTCTCAGTATACATACATACCTCTGTCTCAGTATACATACATACATACCTCTGTCTCAGTATACATACAGACCTCTGCCTCAGTATACATACAGACCTCTGTCTCAGTATACATACATACCTCTGTCTCAGTATACATACAGACCTCTGTCTCAGTATACATACAGACCTCTGTCTCAGTATACATACATACCTCTGTCTCAGTATACATACAGACCTCTGCCTCAGTATACATACAGACCTCTGTCTCAGTATACATACACACCTCTGTCTCAGTATACATACAGACCTCTGCCTCAGTATACATACAGACCTCTGTCTCAGTATACATACATACCTCTGTCTCAGTATACATACAGACCTCTGCCTCAGTATACATACATACCTCTGTCTCAGTATACATACAGACCTCTGTCTCAGTATACATACATACCTCTGTCTCAGTATACATACATACCCTCTGTCTCAGTATACATACAGACCTCTGTCTCAGTATACATACAGACCTCTGTCTCAGTATACATACACACCTCTGTCTCAGTATACATACACACCTCTGTCTCAGTATACATGCGGCAGGTCTCAAGACTAAGATTATTATCATCATTTTTAAGTTTTACCGTTAAGATCAGCGTAAAACAAACGATACTAAACAATACTAAAAAAGTGATCAAGTTGTATATGTAGTATTTTGGCAACACTAAAAGAAAAGCGGGTCATATACAGTATATATTATGTTTTTTTATAATTCAAGTGTGCTCAAAGTCTCTGTACATGTGTCCATGACTCCTGCTGGTCCCTCACCTCTCCCTGTTCTGTGTCCAGTCGTCTTCGTCGCAGGAGCTGCTGCACCAGCTGCCCTTCCAGCCCACACAGGACGACCTGCACTTCCTGTTCAAACACTTCCGCAGCAGTGAGAGTGTGGCGGACGACGACCCCTCCCAGTCCTGCGTCCCCGCTCACAGGGTCCGCTCCCGGAGCCTCAGGTCAGACACAACTCTGGGGTCAAGTCCCTGAGCTGAGGAAGCACTCAGTCTGCAGCCACAGTCACAAACTCTGTCGCGGCGTGAATGAAGTAAATGTTAAATAAAAACAACAGCCTATGTTAGGGTCTAAAAGGGTATATTTTAATTGCCTAAAATCACCAATATTTAGGGTATTTTTAATTATTGTGGCAGATGATTAAGCTTTACATTGTTTTACCAAATTAACAAAAAAAGCGAGGTCTCTCATTCGACTAATCAGAGAGCGGGGGAGGCGGGTGTTGTAGGTCGGTGTCGGTGACGTCAAGAGTTTGTGCTGAATTTTCTGGTTGTAGTTTGTCGGAGAATGCGATAGTAAAATAATCTGTTCTGGTTCAATCCAAATATCAAGAAACTGAAGCAAGAGCAAGAGGAATGTTTAGTAAATGTCATTGATGCAAAGATGTTGTGGCTCTACTCCCCTCGGGCTCCGTTAGTGGCAAAGGAGATGGCTAAAGCTAGGCTACATGCTAAAGCTAGGCTAATGCTAAATGCCTCATTTACATACGTCACAGTAAACTCAGATCCAATCTTTTCAATCTGTAAAATGATTACCATGGTGTGGTAAGACCAGGCTAGAATCAACGGGTATTGGGTCAAATACATTTATATTAAGAACATTATTGAGTCTTGTCCATTGCCTGTTTGCATGATTTGATTTTCTAACTTTCTTTTGGGAGATGAAGTCTCTGTTTAAGGTTTAGTTACAGTCGCTCCTCGTTAGAATAAATGAAATATAAATCTGTCTTTAGTCAAATACTGAGGCTGTGTTTCCATCGCTGTGGTGTGAAAACATCTCCGGACGCTTCCAAAAACAATTCCTTCTGTCTCCTGTGAACGCGCCTCTACAATAACATTACAGTGTGTGTGTGTGTTTGTGCGACTGTGTTTGTGTATGTCTGTGTGTGTGTCTCTCTCTGTGTGTGTGCATCTGTGTATGAATGTGTCTGTGTGTCTGTGTATGTGTGTGTCCATGTATGTGTGTGCGTGTGTGTCTCTGTGTTTGTGTGTGTGTTTGTGCGAATGTGTGTGTGTGTATGTCTGTGTGTGTGCGTGCGTGTGTCTCTCTGTGTGTGTGTGTGTGTGTCTGTGTCTTTGTATGTGTCTGTGTATGTGTGTGTGTTTGTGTGCGTTCAAGTCTGTCTGCCTGTGTTGTGTGTGTGTGTGTGTATGTATGTGTCTTTATGTGCGTGTGTATCTTTGTGTGGTTGTGTGTGTGTGTGTATATCTGTGTATGGGTCTGTGTTTGTGTGTGTGTGTGTCTTTGTGTGTGCGCGCGTGTCTGTATGTGTGTGTCTATCTTTGTGTGTCTCTCTCTGTGTGTGTCTGTGTGTGTGTTTGTCTGTGTGCAGTGACCCTTGGATCAGATTATGTCCTCATCGTTGTGCGACTGGTCATTATCCGTGTTGTGTTGTAAACGTGTTGAGTGTGAGTTTATGACTTGGGTGTTGGCAGCGCAGTGTGTGGTCAGCTTTATTTCTGTTTTTGTGACACACTTTAAACGCTGTGAAACGAGATCTATTTCTTCTGGAACGTTCTGGAGTTTACACTAAACTGCAGTTCCCATGGCAGCCGCAGGGGGCGCTATATATTACTAAGATATTGATTGAGGAAAAGCCACATTCAAGGCCTTAAGCCTAGCGTACATCGACAGAGAAACTGGGGACAACTAGTTGCAAGGCGGCTTTTGGCAACTGAGAGGAGATGGTGGGAGATGATCAGTTGCCGAAATCGGTCGATGTGAGCGCTCTTACAACTGGAGATGATCAGTCGGTCTCCAGTTCCAGTCAGTTGCCCGTGTTCTACTTTTCGGCAACTAGTTGTCCTCAGTTGCCCCGATGTGCGCGCTCCATGCGCCGCTCCAACAACGTGTGTGTATTGCGTGTATTGCGAGCCCGCAACAGTTTGTTGTCAGAAAACACACTGTAGTTGAGGCCAGTTGCTGTCGATGTACGCGCTGTTATTCAAGAGACTGGCCTGCGACTCAGAGTTGCCCGTTTTCGCCAGATTGTCGATGTGTGCGGGGCAGCAACTCATATGCGACGGATATAATCAGTTGCCAGTCCGATGTACGCTAAGCTTTAAAGCAGAGGTCTCCAACTTTTTTATCTTCTACAGACGCTTTCTCAGGACTAGAATGAGACCGAGCTACTTTCTCAGGACTAGAATGAGACCGAGCTACTTTCTCAGGACTAGAATGAGACCGAGCTACTTTCTCAGGACTAGAATGAGACCGAGCTACTTTCTCAGGACTAGAATGAGACCGAGCTACTTTCTCAGGACTAGAATGAGACCGAGCTACTTTCTCAGGACTAGAATGAGACCGAGCTACTCTCTCAGGACTAGAATGAGACCGAGCTACTTTCTCAGGACTAGAATGAGACCGAGCTACTTTCTCAGGACTAGAATGAGACCGAGCTACTTTCTCAGGACTAGAATGAGACCGAGCTACTTTCTCAGGACTAGAATGAGACCGAGCTACTTTCTCAGGACTAGAATGAGACCGAGCTACTTTCTCAGGACTAGAATGAGACCGAGCTACTTTCTCAGGACTAGAATGAGACCGAGCTAGTCCTTTAAGTGTTTACGGCTACTGCTCCTACTGCTGCCGCTGCTACTGCTACTACTACTACTACTGCTACTACTACTACTACTGCTACTGCTGCTACTACTACTGCTACTACTGCTACTACTACTACTACTACTACTGCTGCTGCTGCTGCTGCTGCTGCTGCTGCTGCTGCTGCTGCTATTACAGCTACTACTGCTACTACTACTACTACTACAACTACAGCTACTACTACTACTCTACTGCTGCTACTGCTGCTACTACTGCTGCTACTACTACTACTACTGCTACTACTACTACTGCTGCTACTACTACTACTACTGCTGCTGCTGCTGCTACTACTGCTACTACTAGGTCAAGGTCAAGTTTATTTATATAGCACATTTTAAAAACAGACAGGACTGTCACAAAGTGCTTACCAGACATTGTAAAAATACAACACACAAATAACATTCAGCATAAAATAAAATGCAGGACACCATCATAAATGTTTCAACATTGCTTGTGTTAAAAAGCCAAAGCAAAGAAATGTGTCTTTAGCTGCGATTTAAAACTCTCTACAGAGGGGGCAGCTCTGATGGAATAAGGGAGAGCGTTCCAGAGTTTAGGCCCTGCCACAGCAAAGGCTCGGTCTCCTCTGGTTTTTAATCTAGACCTGGGACAGTGCAGAAGAAGCCGGTCTTCCCGGCGTGTGCAAAGTAAGCAAGTCAGTCAGATATGACGGAGCCAGGTCATGCAGAGATTTAAATACTAACAATAACATTTTAAACTTAATTCTAAAAGCGACAGGAAGCCAATGTAGAGACGACAGCACAGGAGAGATGTACTCGTGTCGTCTGGTGCCAGTCAGCATCCGAGCTGCTGCATTCTGTACCAGCTGCAGTCTGTGAACTGAGGACTGGTCAAGGCCATAGTATGAAGAGTTACAATACTACTACTGCTACTACTGCTACTACTACTACTGCTGCTACTACTGCTACTACTACTGCTGCTGCTATTACTGCTACTACTGCTACTACTACGACTGCTACTACTACTGCTACTGCTACTACTGCTGCTTCTACTTCTACTACCACTACTCCCGGTCGGCTGTAACAGAATCCACTTGTTCCAGAAGCATCTAAACCATCTCTGTGATACATAATAATCTCTGTCTGCTCCAAACAACTGCTGCGTCTCAGTTTCTCTCAAACGTCCGTAGTCGATGCTTCACATTCTTCCCTGAGGCCGGAGCTGATCCCACGAGACCGAACTGGATCCAGAAGGTTTTATATAGAGCTACACATGTTGATATTGTCGTGTGTCGTGTAAAGCGAGATCGTTATAAAGCCTCGACGACACACGAGTGATTTGTGATGTGGAAGGAGCAGAAATGAAAACCACGCACGGACGATGAATAAAGAAGAATAGAACTGGCGTATACAGACGTTTAGGATCAACACAAAGGAATCTGAGAGCACAGAGGGAGGCCAGAGAGAGGGAGGCCAGAGAGAGAGAGAGGCCAGAGAGAGAGAGAGGCCAGAGAGAGAGAGGCCAGAGAGAGAGAGGCCAGAGAGAGAGAGGCCAGAGAGAGAGAGGCCAGAGAGAGGGAGGCCAGAGAGAGGGAGGCCAGAGAGAGGGAGGCCAGAGAGAGGGAGAGGCCAGAGAGAGAGAGGCCAGAGAGAGAGAGACCAGAGAGAGGGAGACCAGAGAGAGAGAGGCCAGAGAGAGAGAGGCCAGAGAGAGAGAGGCCAGAGAGAGAGAGGCCAGAGAGAGAGAGGCCAGAGAGAGAGAGGCCACAGAGAGAGAGCCCAGAGAGAGAGAGGCCAGAGAGAGAGAGGCCAGAGAGAGGGAGGCCAGAGAGAGGGAGGCCAGAGAGAGAGAGGCCAGAGAGAGAGAGGCCAGAGAGAGGGAGGCCAGAGAGAGGGAGGCCAGAGAGAGGGAGGCCAGAGAGAGAGAGGCCAGAGAGAGAGAGAGAGGGAGGCCAGAGAGAGAGAGGCCAGAGAGAGAGAGAGGCCAGGAGGCATCCCAAACAGATGAAAAGTGTAGTAGGCCTCTTACTAAATCTACTGCAAAAGGACCAACTAAGAATAAACCTCTTTCGGAGCATGCAGAGATATAAGACTATTCTTGCTCTTTTTGTAGAAAAAAAATATATATTTTCAAATTGTCAGTTTAGAACAGACGACAAAGAAAAAACCAAAAAGGGATAATGGCTATAATATTAAGACTATTTACTTTAAGGATACCGTAAAGTCATTTGGGCTGATGTTCACACCATCCAGGGGCCGTTGCCTTGTTTTAACCATAGACTGTATATATTAATGGACAGAGTCACGCCTATCTCCGCGGTTCTAACTAATGGGCCAAAAAATGTGATCTACTGGAGCTATCCAAAATGGCCGCGAGTGGTCCC